TAATACCGATAGTTCATATATCGTTTTATTTTGAAAAATAAAAACACAAGGAAAACGATTTAATAATTAAACTAATTTATACACTTTATAACGGTTAATTAATTAATTAATTAATTATTAAAATATGTAATAATAAAATGAAGAAATTTGCGGGGTGGGGGATATAAAAACGTTGGTGTGGTCACATCAAAGTATTTCTTCTTTGTTTGTCTTTTTATATTCTTTTTTTTGTTTCGTTCTTTTCTTATCTCGATTAAAATAAAATGATAATGGGTAAAAAAAATATTGAATATTTACCTCTTTCGGGTACGGGTTCGCGCAAACCAGCTCCCAATTGTATCTCTTTCATGGACGAATATATTCCCGGGATATGTGCGGTGCAACGTAGATTCAACTGGCCGTTTATATAGTGAAATGGTTGCAATAGTAGACTGAGACCGATCCACTGTTGTTGCTGATACTGATGTTGATGTTCGTTGCTGGAAACTCCGTTGCTGTTACTACCTTCTCTGCGATGTTGTTCTCGTTTCTGCTGTTCAGGTTCTTCCTGATTCGTCGAGGTAGCTGCCACCTGCGGGAAATCAAGATGGAAATCAAGCGTGAATTTCGTAACTCCTCGAACATTTTCGAATGCAAACCAATGCCAGGTTAGGAAGGTAGGTAGGAAGGAAACGTCATTTCAAACTGAACGGGGGATGGAAAGGGGACGGGGACAAGGGGAATGGAAGGGGGAAGGAAAGAAAGAGAAAGAAGTGAACGTTTTGCGTTTGCGAATATAACCACCACCATGAGGAAAGGGAAGAGAACGTTTATGCGAATGTAGAAAGAAGAAGTAGGCAAAAAGGCGACGCGGAGAAGTCAAGGAAATGTAAATCTGCTTTTAACGAAATCCTTTCATCTGGAATCGACTCCCTCGTTGGCTATTCTCTCCTTACTTTTCAAGCACAAAGCCAACGCGCCATCTTACTCCAACGAATAAGAGTCTTTCATACCAGTTTCGCTTTATATGCTAGCTAGCTAGCTAGCTAGCTACTACTACTGGTATTAGTATTAGTATTACCACTACTATTACTTTTATTATGTCTGTTTCTAGACTTTAGGAATTTTCCTTTTCAAACCTTTACTTTTTCTGTTCTCATCCACGTGCAATAATAATGTTCATTTCTTTTCTCATGTTCGTTAAGAAATCAAACTATATACTATCGATAAAAACAATCCTTGTATGAATTCGAACGAGTTAATCGCATGGCATATAACCACGAGTCTGACTCGTGGTAAAGAATTTGTGCCATAAGCGAAAATCACGAGTACGACTCGTGGTGAGTAATTTATGCATAAGAAGATGCCGCGTATTTTTAGAACGCGTTATTAAAACAAGCGATTAGAGTTATTCCACATCGAATATTTTTCCTTTGTATTGTAACATCAGTAATTGTGGTTTTTATATTCGTTCTTAACGAAATTGCATGATCTTTTACTTTAGTTGCCCGTAAAGCTTCGTTACTTTCACACGTTTCAAATTGTTATTGATTCATTATCTATTCTTTGAAATAATAAATTATTATTTTTCAACTGATCAATTGATTATGATTCAATCCCAGACGTCTTAAAATTACTATTTCTACCTAAAAATTGTTTATTTTTTTCACAATTTCTTTCGTTTCATTGAAATATATAATATATGTCATGAAAAGTATATATTTTGCGCCAGTTCGGGTATAGGGCTGAACAGTTGAAGAATGACATGGCGCGCGACGACTCTCTTGTTTATTATGGCTCGCACAATTGGCAGATATCGTGTAGGCCATGGGGTTAAGTTTCTTCATGTAGATATGTTTCTTTGTATCTTCTATCTTATTTGTTGTTGCTGTTATTGAAATGATTAATATAGTCTCAAGTATAGTTGTGTAAGTAAGTTATTTATTAAATTGTTGACAATTTCTCGTAGATTAATTTATTTTTTAATTCGAACAAAGTTTTCTTCGTACAACTTTTTATCCTTATTTTAGAAAATTATAATACTATTCTCGAAGTTTTAAGAGAATGATGGATAAAATGATCCTCTAGTAAAATAACTTCAACAATCCAATTTCATTTCCGACAATCAAATGAAGCCGCACGTTTAAAGGCTATAGTTTGAAAATGATTTTTTTTTTCTCTACTCTGAGAAAAAGGTATAGGACACGTTTTTTAGGGATGCAGTTTCTCTAACAAGGGTCTGATTTTTCGAGACAATTTGCTTTTTCTTCGTTTACGAGAAATTCATGTTACGAGCAAACCTACGATTTGTCAACCGAAAAATCCGTCACTGATTCTTCAGTTATTCTTTTTTTTTTTTGATCCTACTTTATTAATTATTAATAATATATTTTTGTTCTTTTATATATATAATATGGACCGTTTATTTTGAAAGTGGTGTAAGTCCATTTAAAAAAAAAAAAAATGAGATATCAAGTAATTTATACTTAATTTAGTGTAAACTTTCTATTTATAACTAGTTAGTAATTTATATCTTTAAAAAAGTCAATGCTTTATTCAATTTAAAATAGCCCGGTAAAATAAATTGTGTAACTATTGATTAGGAAAATGGTGAAATTAAACGATTTTAACAATTGACTAATTTTTAAAGTGGTGTAAGTCCATTTGCAGCCTGTAAGTATACATCAGTTTAGTAAAATACGCCTAAAAAAAATTTATATAATAAAATTACATATCGATAAATTAATAGAAACATTATTTAACGTGATATAATTAATGAATATTTTTAAATTAACCAATATGCAAACCTTTAATTTTCTCAAATTAAAAGAAAATGGAACTTACACTACTTTCAAAATAAACGGTCCATATATATAATATATAATATGTTCTTTATATATACTATATATACGCTTATAAACGTTCACATAATAAAATCTAAAAAATAATGATCTTCTATTTAAACGAGCATAATATTTGAATAGTTCATTTATCATTTACATTTGAATACATCATTTACATTTAACTACAATTTCTCATATAATAATAATATTCACATCTTATAAAATTACTTCACCCAAAAAATAAAATCCAACAAAAAGAAAAAAGAAAAGAAAATCATTAATAATTTTATCAAAAAATCATTGATACAAGTAACATTTTTTTTTAAAACAAACAAACAAACAAAAATGTTACTTCTTAAAGAAATAATTTTCCATTCGATATACCGCACAAGAGATAAAGTTAAAAATAAAACAAAAAGATTGTTATTCGTGGCAGGTGATTATTTCATAAAATGAATGAACGAACACGAACGAACGAACGAAAGGAACGAACGAGAGAAAATTCGAAAACGGAACACGCCGGGGCGCATAAAATTTAATCTCAAGAGTAAAAGCGGATGAAAACGATTATACTCGTCTTGAATACAGTTTACGAGGAAAAGTGGGAAAGGGTTCACCGTGTCTCTAAGTGACGTGGCCTTTCTTCTCAAATATCCTCGGGAAAGCACCGCGGAAAATCAAGAAAATGTTTCCCTCGTGAGAGATTAGGCGAGACGACGACGACGACGACAACGACAACGATGAGAATTGAAAGAGAGAGAGAGAGAGAGAGAGAGAGAGAGAGAGAGAGAGAGAGAGAGAGATGGGGGGACAGAAGGGGTTGAGAGAGAAAGAGAATGAGAATGAGAAAGAGAATGGGTGTGAAACTGTTGGTGAGGTGCGAACACAAAGACGACGGGGTGAGGGGGATAGGGGGAGGAGGGGAGTTGGGTAGGGGTGGGGTAGGATGCAGCAACAAAACGAAGACTGACTTGAGTTCAAAACTGCTAAAGTCACTCACTCAGTGACAAAAGCGAGTTCATACTAAGGACCGAGTAACGACCAATACTTTATCCCCCTTCTGGTAAGTTTAAATACAATTCGAGAAGAGAATAAGACTAAACTAGGAACTAAGATTGTATTGGGGTTTTGTTGTTGTTGCTGTTATAAAGTTACTAGTTTAATCTTAAAATTAACTATCTTTTTTTCTAGACTTTTTAAGCTTATTTCTTTCTTTCTTTTTCTTTTGTTTTCTTTTTTTGATAATGAAAGATAAATAAGTTGTGTTGGGTTCGATAGTTTAATACAATTAAAAATCATAATTAATATAGATAAATTTTGGACAAGTGTAATTTGATTGTTTTTGATATATTATATAATACACGAGTGTACATTTTATTACCCTTTTTTTTTTTCTTTATTATAAATGACAATTATTATTTCGATTCGATATTTATTTTTGATTTTAATTAATATTTCGATTATTATCATGTATTTTTGATTATTCCGCGTGCGGAAATGTTTTGTTAACAATTCTAATGAAAAAATTGTTTTTTCGTTCATTTTTGTTTTATTAATTAAATTTAAGTATTACGCGTTTGTGGTGATTGTATAGTACAAAATAATGAATATATAACTCTTCAGAATTTTTATAATGTATTATTTAAAAAAAAAGAAAACATTGGATTACTTTTCAAATCAATTAAATCATTAAAACATTTCTTAATACATTCTAAAACCTAATCAATTTCTTTGTTCTTCAGAGTGTTCTCTACCAAATTGCAATTCGAATGTAATATATATATAAAATGCATACAAATGTAATAATAATTAAATTCGTAATTAATTAAACATATTATTCACACAAAAAAAATGTCAATTACGTTTCAAACGAAAATGAATGACTTAAATCAATGAAATCATAAATGAAAAAAACATTCTCTAAACACCTCATTCATTTTGTCACATCCAGCTATAGCAAAAATTATAAGAAAAATATGATTTCCCCCCTAACCCCCCCACCCCTCCTCCTTCCAGGGTATATTTTATCGAATTGAAATGCATTCGTATATACGCTTTTAATTTTTCAAAGGTGTACACTTCTTTGTTAGTACATTAAAGCAACCGTGAACACACGTTTACGAGCTGTATAAAATTCTCAATATTTTCTGCCATACGAATAGGAATGTCATGGGGAGTAAAGAGATTTGTAATTAGAAGAGATGGAGAAAGAGAAAGAGAGTAGGATAGGAAACAAAGAAGACCACTTAGGAATGCAGGAGGTCTCACACAATGGGGTAAACGCAAACGAGCTATACCGTCGAAGGTTAAATCCGATGTGTACTGTTCAATTAGAGAGAAAACCAAGAAAACGGTTGTGAACCGTCGTGGTACACACGACCTGGTGGTGTGTTCATGCACGGTTTCAATGCGATTTCAAAGTTCGAAAAAAAGGTGCAGTTGAATTGAAGTTTTAGTCACGACGGGAGGTTTCAGAGTAGAACAGATTTTTCTAAGAATAAGGAACTGTGTGAAGGAACGTAGAATTTGAGAATAAGTATGGGGTATATAGTCGGTTGGGGGAAAAATAAAACTAATTGTTGGATAGACAATAAAATAGACAAAAGATTTAGATAGTTGATGAAACATTGTCACAAAATTACTTAAAACGAGACTAGAAAAATGATATCCTGTTAATGTGTTTTTCTTTAAAGTACAATAGGATTGTGGACAATTTTGTTGATAATGAGAATAATATAAAATATTATTT